TGAGGACTCCTCAACGCTTTATCTATCATAGCCGCAACCGAGGATCTATAGTTTATCTAACTCACACGACCCGTGACTATCGTGCACTTGATGACTACAAAAAATAATGAATTTGTCATATGATATTACATTATTAGAACCATTTTGTTTTGTTGTATTACAATTTTTATTTTTTTATCCATATGATGAAACGATACTGCGTCACGGATACTTTTTGAGTGATCGTTGAACTCTTGATAATGACTGATCGTCGCGACTCTTCAAACACGTCTTACGATCTTCTGTTTGACCTGATAATGTAAGCAAAGTCGGACGCCGAAATGGGACCTACGGTTATATATATAGAATCGGAAAGTTTGGATGTCGGCGATTACGTAACTTTAGGGCAAATAGAAAGTTGATGGTGGTAAAGGTAGCGGGAGGGATTGCGTAAAATTTGAAATCTTTTAATTAAATTTCTATTGTTAGAGATGAGACGTGTAATGCTATCTTGAAAGGATCGTAACAGGGAAAAATGGAAGCTGGTAACTTTTAGTCTCTTGGGTCCTCGCGTAATCATCCGTGAAAGTAAGACAATAGGCAGAAAAAATCTTTACGCCGTTACGGAAAATTCGTGGTTTTCTGTTCACGAAAATTTTCTAAGCTGTTTCGTTAGATTGGGTTCATCTTAGGCCGCGGCTTATTTATGGGCCTTATGGTATTAGGTAGCTCGAATTTTTGCGAAATTAGTTGGCTGATGAAAAATTGCTTAACGAGTGTCGGCGCATACCTTTTTTTTCCTTTTTTTGAAACAATGGCTGACCTTACGGAAAACAATAAGGTATCGTATCTTGGCCGGAGGAATCCCTCGGGCTAAGACAATGCAGGTGTTTCCATTCTGTTACGTTTAACCATTTTTCCTTGAACGGGATGCACCGGGTTCTTCTTCGCCATGATGAATGAAAAATTCTAGGGCATTTCGGGATGTTTTGAAAAATCGTGTAATACGCGGGGCGGTGCCGGGTAGTTTCGAACTCGATGGATATGAAATTTTGAGACGTTTCCATTATGGGTCAAATTGATTATTTTTTTCGTTTCGGTACAGCTGCCGATAACTTTGCATAGTTTTTTTTTCTTTTTTGAAAGAGTTAAGCATACCTGATCTGTGCTTCTTTGGGAAAGTTTTGAAAAAGAATAATTAATCGTATATATAAACCTAAGCGGTTTTTTTTTAAATTAATATAATACGAAAAACAAAATATAATATACGTATTAATTTTTTAAAATTTTATATAATTAAATACCAATTTTTACTGTAGAAAATAACGTTGGAAAGTATGACTATATGGTATTGACTTTCTTTGCCTCACCGAGTGATAAGAAAAGGTCATAAAGCTGAGTCGCTGTAATGAGAATCCATCCGTCGGTCGGTTTCACAAAAACCGGGTGCCTCTTCCATTAAAAGTTGCAAACGATCCCCGCCTAATGAGATACCGAGGACGTTAATGGCCGCTTTAATTGGGTTGTTAATTTTCGGAGATGAATTCATAGGTTAAAAATGCAAAAGCTAATAGCGCCGAGGGGGTGGAGTCCGCCGAATTAAATGGGCTATTTTGAGGGCCTTTTCGACCCAATTTAGTGCGTTCATTTTCGCCACGGCAATATATATGTGAGCATATATGAATGTGTATGCTAGAATCGTGCCGGTAGGTATCTTTCCTTTGAAAGAAATACATTCCCCAGTGGAAAGCATAAAATCGAGTTAATCGCCCGTTTAGACTTTCAAGATAATTTAAATGGCAATTAAGATACGCAATACCTGAGTATGAATATTCATTACGGGTGCAGGTATCGCGATAAATAGTCCATGGGCTCTTATGCAAATTTCACTATGAAATTTCGGTAAGATAATACCCAGCAACCCCATAGAAAGCATGTTTGATAAACCTGTACCTCATGAGGTTTTTCCAGGCAAAAAATTGAAAAAAGTACCGAAATGAAGTCGTAAACTCAAAATTGAAGTCAATAGCAGAAAACAGGCAGAACCGCCTTAGGCCCCCAAAAAAAAATTCACGTGTTAACGATCTAATTTCGAAAAAAAAGTATCCCCCACGAACCAAAAAAAAACCGTGACAAGTCCTCGTGACGTTGACGATGATCAAAAATAAAAAAAATTCTATCACGAAAGGTTAAAAAAATGTTAACGTTGTCTCACGTAGCTATTAGGACCCCACGGGTGTCACCCGGATTTTCAAAAAAAAAAATATCCTATAGTATCCCCTCTTTCGGAGTATAAAATTTCAATTATCAAACGAGCGGAGCGTGCGAGGAGGGGGGCTTTGAAAAATTGGTAAAAAAAAATAGGGCGAGCGGCACGAAGCCGACGCACCGAAAAAAAATCGTTCCGAAAAGGTTTAGAAGAGAGTTTTAAAAAATAGAAAAATAAAGGAACACCAGCATGGGACAATGAGCGAAAGAATGCGCATGTTGTTGTCGACGCGTCCTGAACACACTGCGCGTAACAGCGTCCATTGTTGGCGATTATGGACAAGTGGTTTTACCCATTCTTCAAATTTTTTTTGTTTATCCCATTTTTCTCGTCCCCCAAAAGCCCTCTCGACTATAATATCGACACGGGCCACTTTTGTAGCGAACTATCGCGGCTCGACGACCGTCGTCGAAGACGCTCGGCGTCGCCGATAGATTATTTTACCCCTGGATACAAAAGCACGACAAAACACTCCATTGTTCACGTTTCTTAGGGAACCGCCTCTCCGTGTCTATGGCGAACGCTTGGAGTCAATTTTACGTCTTTCAGGAAGAGGATCGAGGAGGAAACTGTTTCACACTTCTTAGCATCATCCATCCTTATCCTTCCTTTATTTTCCTTGTTCGTCCTCTTCTTTCTTCAAGGGAGAAGAATTTTCTAGATCTTTCCTTGTCTATCGCAACGTTATTCACTGACCATCGAGAATTCACGGTTACGTCGTTGAATTCCGCGACGGTGACTACGTACTTTTTACGCACGAGTGGATCGATCCGCAATCTCGCATCTGGCATATGGACGGACTACATTTCATAAGAAATTGATACCAGCTGACGTGAAAACAATGTTGAAAAATTGCGGCAAAAAATTTTTTTAAGAATTACACACTATATGTATGTAAAATAATAATTTTTAATTCGACCATAGCAGGAGGTCAATTCCAAACGTTCCAAGGCCCAGTACACATTTCCTAGACGGAGAATCATTCCACAAAATTTCAGCCCCAATATTTCGTAATGAATATGTTAGTCCCGGTGGGAACCGGAGGTTGCGGTTGCATCGGACTCCCTCGGATTGGGCCCCGCGGTTTATGTTCCCGCTGACCGCTTAACCCGGACTTCGTAAACTGTAACATTAAAATCCTCTAAAACGATCCGAGCGCGATCGTAAAGTAACGATCGATGAGCGGAACCATTCTGTGTAGCCACCATTCGTTCTACCATCATTCTAGTAAAAGCAGCATTAAATAGTAGATAGACTGTTACACTGTATACACAATATATAGACACTCCCTTAAAATCCTGGAACTTATTTTCCTTTTCGAAAGTCCTCTGTCGCTACCGCCAGTGTTTCGGAGTAATGAAATTCCTATACGATATACGAGAGAGACTCTATGTATGTATATTTCCTGTGTAAATTCCCGTGGATTTTCAAGTGGACCCCAAGAAGAGGCCTCTCGCATGGGAAAGAGCCTGCGGCTATACGAAAAGGTGTAATAAGCCATAATAATAGGCAGTGCATGGATTTTTTTTATTTTCCCCTGATAATGTTGCTACCGTAGAATGTGGGGTTCTATCCTAGCCGAGTGGGCATTGGTCCAAATTGCACGAAATCAGTGCTCCGGTGATTCAGTACTTCAGCCTCCCTGGCAGTGGTCCAGGCCTTTATGCTACCCTCTAACTTTAATAATATAACGGGGCGAATTCCATAGCGTAAAAAAGCCATCAGCATTCAAGAAGCGATTTTAATAGGGTTTACCAAGCGAGGAATTCTCTATCGTAAATAGCAAAAGCGAAAGGAAAAACTTAAAGCTACGTTCACATAGTAGCTACGGACATCGCTATTACTCTCGCGGGATCATCATACTTAATAACGATATAATTATAACCTGCAGACACCTCAAAAAATCTTTCTATGCTGTTTTCCAAAAGTTTCACCAAAAAAGTGATCATCCTTCCCGACTGACCATCGCTAATGACTAATTATCTTTCACACTCGTGTAACTTACAAAGCTACACGTTAACGTATTATTATCGCTAGGTTTCACGCCTTTTGCGAGAAAAATTCTTATTTTAGGGTTAAACGAACTCTTAACGAATCTCACTAATTACACTGTGGGATACGCCCATGTGTATAGGAAACTTGAGAAATTTTCGAAAAAAAAATATTTCAAATCCATTCTGTGTATTTCCTTAATGATAGGATATACATATACCTGGAATATTTAAACATTAAGAAAGGTGTTAATGCGTTGTATCTATTTCCCCATGTAATCCATTACGTACCCAGAACAGCATATAATTATGTACTTATACGATCTAACGTACCTTTAACTTGTCACAACTCATATCGTATCCGAACAGAAGAAACGAATGATAAAGTTCAAAAGATTGTATTGCGTAACCAATATTCTCAGTATTTCACAGAATTTCATCGATATATCTAAAATCAATAAGTTCCCACATCGATGCACCTATCAGTCGGCAGGTCTTCTCGAAATTTAATAACCGTACAAATAAAGATAACCGATACGGGTCTCGAGTTTGATTACACCAAGTAAATTTCTTCCAAAAAATGAACGTAATCCAAATACGTATTAAAAATTGCTTTTTTGATGATACAATTTTTTATAAATCCCACGCGTATCCTTGTTACAACAAAAGAGTATGGTCTGCAAGATATTTTCGAAAAATACGTTTCGATCCGCTTCGTTGCCATTCGGGTTAACTGCTATGGGCTCTGCCCACTCACTCACCCTATGGTGTTACTCGGCACCGCTCGACGTGCTGCAATTACCTACTCCTGGTGGCTACGTGCATCGGCGTTCCGAAGTCTGTCACGGTGATGGTTCGACTGCGCCCTGCAAACGCACGATACATTCAGTGCTCGTTACTTGCCCTCGCGCCCGAGTTAGTGCCAATGGAATTTTCGTATAGAACAAAGGAAGCCGCATTGAGATATGGTAAAGGGGATCCTTGGAAATGGGCAAGTTCTCATGGTGAAATTATGGGGAGAGTCGCGAGGAAGGATGGTTTTCAAGATCGCGAAATAACGAATTTCCAAGACCTTCGCGGTTAATTCCCACCGTTCGTTGCGCCTTGCGGTGAGAACAAAGAGAACTACGTATATACCTGTGTATCTAACTTTAAAAACAGAAGGGAACGAAGGTAACGTTGGTAATATAGGATTATATGATCTTTTCACGGTCCCGAATCGTCCTATGTGGATACATGCCAAATAAATATCCAGTTTAATCTGTAATTTAAGGTGTATCGTTTCACAAACCAGAATACCTTAGTTCCATCCGGTTACGCTCGAAACAATATATTCTTGTGAATTGTTGACTGAAACGGAAATCATTTTCATTGGAACTTTGGACTTCACGTTAAATCACCGACTAGTTGGTACTTTGAATTCTGAATGGAATTGGTGGTTTTGAGATTTTACTAATAAATTCGTCTCGGTACCGCATACGTGAATTTAAATTCAAAGTTGCCGGAAAGCTTGGACAAAAATTTTATTCAGAGTACGTAGACCCAGAAACCCATCTACTTATCCCACCTTGTATACGTATACTGTGCATACTATAACTTCTAAATACCAGTACAGTAAAAATTCTCGTGGTAATTGCTAGTTCAGTCGAAAGATCATGGGTGCGCCGTTACGACGCGTATCGCGGAACATATTTCGCCTTCCGGAACCCTATCGACGCGGCCGGCTAGTTCGACTAATCGAAAAAAAGGACAAAGCCAAGTAGACACGCAGCGAAAAATCTATTTCACGAGTCAGAAGATCGTGACGGCATCAGCAGCCGCATTGACCTATCCTTACGGGGAGTGCGAGTGAGAGTAAAAAAAAGATGCGGAATAAAATGGATGACCTTAGAAATTTTTACATATTTTTTAATTCTCACACCCTCTTCCCATAATATATACCTACAAGCACCATCTTACAAAACTATGACGTATATATATATATATATATCCAAGTACTCAACGACGCCGACCCTCGTACTTCGACGTTTGACCTGTGTTATCGTTTACTAATAACGAGAGTATAGACAGGGTTGCGCGTGATAACGTTATCATAAAGATTCTGGATCGACTAAACAATTTTTTTTTTCATATTTAAGCAACATTGCTTTTTCACTAGCTCCTAGCTCTCCATATAGGCAGAGATGGTTGCGATGGCTGCATCATGGATGGTTCCGGCTAGTGGTGCGCAGTTCCCTTTCGGCTGTACTTTGTATTTCTCCCGGTGTGTAACTTCATGCGTTTCTCTGCCAGTCAGCAATGGACGCCAGCCTTGCCTACCTAGTCCATACTGGTATATCGGTATACGAACTACAAAGCGTGCCACGTTCTGGCGGGCGTGCTTCCTCCGGGTGTCCGCTCCACTGGGCCAAACCAACCAGCCAGCCCCGACGCCACCAGGACGCGGTCTCCTTTGCAACGCATTCGGTAACACTTGGTCGATAGGATTTTACTATGGTTTATCAAGCCGAGTTTGAGCCAATGACAAAAAATTGTTTATCAAATAAAAACAGGAAGGCAATAAAAACTTACCGTCATCTACGTGCAAAGTGGAAAAATGTAAATTTGATTTTTGATCAATTCAAATTCCTTCGAGACAAAATTATTACTATATACAGCACCTGGTTTTTTATTATGCTAACACGTGGCAGCAATTACTTATAGTTCATTAGCGAATGTAAGATGTACCGTTTCATCATCATCATCGCCGTCGATGACGAACCGGACAAACAAGTTGGTACAGAGATCGACTGTGTACTCGTGTTGCACGTATCGTTTAAAAAAAATTTATTTTATAATAATATACGCACGCGTTTGAAATTCACCTTGTATCTTTTCCTCGTATCATTAATTCCACGTCGATTTCGTTTTTCGCGTATAAAATATATTTACATATCGTGCACATTCGTTAAGACTTTTCTTTGAAGTACTGTACTATCCAGGTACGGAATGACCAGGGACCACCCACTTGTAAAATAAAAAAATATCGCTTATAAATAATGCAATGTATAATTATCAAGACTAGAAATTCCATCGCCATCCCTGACTATTATTCATATGTATACATACGTGACGTTGTAACGTTACATATGAATTCAATCTTCCTCCACACACGTTCCCGTCTAGTCAATACGAATCCTATTTGTCTGTTACGCAATCGCTCACTTCATATAAGCAAAATGGTTAACTCGAGTGTTCCATACAAATAATATGTAAACAACGTGCATTATTATTTATCGTCTTAAAACGTGCGCAGTTTCACATACTCACATATGCTTTATCGTAGATGGTCATCTGCGGTCACACCCATTCTCAAAGTTCATATCCTCCACACGTTTCTATAGACAAGAGAGTAGAAGAGAGATTTTAAAAAATTCATATGAGGACCCGACTACGTCTAATGTACATATGCTCATGTGTGTACAGTTAAGCTTTGAGTATATATACATATATATTTTTATGTTATGTACTGGTCGCATTCGAAGTAGTGCATTTCACTCGTTGACTATGTACACCCCTGGCTAAGAGTTCGTACCGGGTCACGCAGTGATCCCCAGTGGTTGGATAGCCGCGATGCCCCCTGCGCACACGCGATAACACCCAGCCTTTACGGCGTGTTTTTCGAACCACTGAAAAATAAGAAGCGTTGGGTCATAGGTCAAAGATACTGGCACACGCAAGCCGCCTTTATGTGGTCATATGGCGAGATATGCACGCACCTTACTATTACACCCCTATGCAAGAATGTGGTACGGAATTTTCTTGTTAAATGAATTTTTGGTGATTAACAATGAAATTATAATTATTCATAATCAAATTTTTTTTTAACAATGATCAAAGATTTTGGCTGATTTAAAGATGAAGTTCACTGTCTGTAATGTGGGTCAATTTTAAAGATTCAAATACATATTTTTCCTGTACGCGTGTATGTTATTTATAAATTTAAAAAATATTCTTTCACGCGTCACGTGGTTATCGATTTTATTTATGAAACGAAAATCGCGCGTTGCAACATAAGTTTCTCTTGCGTGGGTCATTTTTTTGTAGCCTGGAGTCTTTCGATTTGTTATCTTTGAACAGTGGGAGAAAAAAAGGATCAAAGAAACTTACGCATGGTTTTCAAGTTGAATCTCCTTTTTTTTATCGATCAGAGATATCACAGAAAATCTTAGGTATTCTCCTGTATAATATAACGTCTTTTGCATATAATCTTATCATTTCAGGATGCTGCCGCCGTATCACACGACACTCACGATAACCCTGGGTCTCTTAATCAGCATAATTCTCTCCCGAGATTCTCCAGGGTCTCGATCAATGTTCAACAGTGCCGAAAATGTTAATTTTTTCATTACAATAATAAAACAAGATTACAGGAATGACCACGTGATAATAAATTAATTTAATAAATAAACTGATTGCACGTGTTTACGTCGACGTCTCATCGGAGTCCCACGCGTCGTTACCGATTTACACGTAAATAGTTAAGAACCAAACGCGAAATTCAAGCAGGTTTTCGATAACTGTTAATAAAGGTTATCCACAAATCTACGAATAAAAGTCTACGTGATGTCTTAACCCTTTTTTAAGATGGCGAACCCGCGTGTATTTCTTTGACTGAGGTTATCATCAGCAGACATCGAAAGCCACAGATAACGCGTGCGACGAGACCGGCGATAGAGAAATTTAAAAAAATTTTCTGAACAGTAAACAGTTAACCTAAATTACCTCAGTCAAGGACGCAAGATAAAATATTTTTAACGAAAAAAAAATAATGTTTCCCCTTTCAAGGAAAATAAAGCGAGACGACATTTAGAGTCCTTGGAATTTTATTCGTCGGATGCATTTCAAAAAAAGTGTGCTCTGACGTCACTATGCACCTGTCGAGAATGTAACATCGAAATGCACTCGTTATCCTTGACATTATTTGGCAAGCGAATTCTAGCGGTAGGAATGTGAAGAGCTCGTAAAAGTGCATTACGCGAATAAACCGAATTTTAAAAAATATTCAGAAAGAGCTGGCTATCGAGAGTGAATCAAATGACGTTTTACGTAAAACTATAGTCTCGGAACGTAAAAAAAAAATTTTAGGATTTTTGTCAAAATAAAAAAAAAATTTTTCTTTTCCGTAGACATCTCTATATCTGTTATATTTTTCGTCGTGATTCAGTGCCCCGTTCTAGTCCATGCACGTGAGTTTATTCGTGCAACCACCTGTGAGCTACGACGCACGGTTGAATCTGGTATAGCAGGCGGAAACGCAGCGAGCATAACGGAGGGATGTTCCTGGTATCTAACCCTTAAAACTCATCGGTCCGAGGTTTCCTGTTTGACGAGGAAACGTTAAGAGTTTAATAAAACAGGGGCGCCAATCGTCAGAGCGTGACTGCGGTTCCGATAGTTTCCTACGGTCACGAGGAGTCAAACCGTTTGTTGGTTATACCGTGATCTTACGAACGCTTCTCGCCAATACTAAAACCAACTCGTTATGCACGGTCCATTTAGTGCCCTGTTTATTGCGCCAAGTTACGTTAACCACTGACAGTACAGTTTTACAGTGAAGCGGACAAATGAGAAAACAAAAGGAGTAAAAACAGTAGAAGCGCAACGGTTGATATTTCATTCTGAAATTCTTCGCTTCGCTCTTCACGTTCGAAACTAACGTTAGCCCCATTTTTCATTTTCCATTCGTATTTACCTCGCAAGATTCTCTATTGCGTATATGGTGCATTCACGCAACCTTACCAACTTCTTACTCAATGGAAGAAAGCTACGAGGCGTTATTTTGCATGGCACTAAGGTACACAAGCTCCTCAAATTCCCTTGGTGAATCTCTGTCGCGCTTCGTTGCCTTCCAGGTCACGCCAGACATCCGCTTTTGATTTCTGTATCAGCTAACAGGTGGCCTCTAGCGTTAACCTGTATACGTGTATATGCTACAACCACCGACTACTTCCGGTCGCCGGTCTCTTCGGCAATTAGCATTTGGTATGGAGTTTTGTCAGGTTCAATCGCGGCGACTGACGCTCGTGTGAAAACTGGGAGAAGGACGTGAGGTTGCATGGCGAAGGATGTGTCGCGTGTCGCAATCTAATGCGAGGAAAAGACAATGCCGTGGATAACACGTGGATTAGCATTTTGCCGAGATCAAGGATGGGAGTTTTTTCTTTCTGTGGAAATGAAAGTTTACTCAAGGGTATGTGGTGGTTCGTGTATATATGGGGGTCGATACCATGTTTTGGGACAGGGGTGGAAGATTTACTGGGGGTGCAGATATCGTCGTAAGGAACAAACTCACTGCGATCAAAGGACTTTGGGCTAATTAAATGTCATCGATTCTTTTGATCATTTTTGGCATGATCGATCGATCCGATCGACCAGGACATTGACGGCTCGAAATTACAGCGCGGCTCTCATAGTCTTTCTCGCGACCCACTGTTAACCCTCAATGAGAATATTAATGACTCTATCGATGCACTAATTAACGCACGTGGGAGCGTTAATACGTAAATTAAAAGGCGGCTGGTTTGACGAGTCGAGACTTTCGATTATGAGTAACGATCGGCCAATTAAGTGGGATTGAGTAATTAAGTGGTAATGAGACTTGCGATATATGGTATGTTAGGGTGCTCTTTTGATTCTATGGGTGTGACGTTAATCATACATTTTTTTATCTTTCAATAGCTTATATGAACATTAAGTATTCTTGAAGGATGCGTAAATCCTATGAAAACTTTACAGGTTTATATTATAAAAGGTGAAATTATAGTTTTGATACGTGCTAAATTTTCACGATGCTTTATGGTCTAATAATTATTTCCAGCCTTTGCCATCACGCCGCCATCATACATTCCAACGTTAACGTCAAAGCACGTCAGACACGATAAAAATTGTTGCCACCAAAAAATGATAATCAAGTATCCACTTTAATATCCACTACAATAAGCTTTCCTAAGAGAACAGGAATATTCCGAAAAATACGCATATAATCGCATATAATTTATAAATTGTCCTTGAATCGCCACAATGTCAGAGGATATATCATACGTTTTCAGAAGGTCGACTCTTCATGTGAAAATGTAAAAAAAAATTATTTACGTGACTCGTATCTTGAATTCATCGGTGAAAAAAAATTCAGCGGAACATAAATTAGCATGTGAAATAATTGTGCAGTGCGTGTCGCGCATTTACAAAAAAAGCTTTAAAAACATTTCTTACAAGTATTTTTAACAAGTACCTGACCCTCGCTTCCGGATTGTAATAATTCTCCGTTTCTGCAGACGTATATATACACCCTTCAGATTTCCATGGATATATATTAATATAAAAGGGTGTGAAACTCCAGCGAATCTCAACATTAATAGCCTCCTGTGACACAGCATGCCGGCTCTCACTTTTAAACAGCGAAGACGATGAATTATGACAGTAACTTAAGAACCCGCAGTACTATACCCTATGTAAGATTACTCCTGGTCCACCGTGAGCTCAAAAATAAATGATTAATCATCCAAGACACCATGACCGACCTTGGCCACCACGTCGTACTTATCACTTTGATTTACATGCCCGTTAAATCGGCTAACACGGCCAGAGAAAAGCTTTTCAATTACACATCAAGCACAATACTTAAGGATGCATCGATTTCAATACTGCGTATCAGTAAAAATAAAAGAAAAATTTACATAAATAATTTGTCATTGAAATTAATCATCTTACAGTACCTTAATCATTTATCACGGTTCTCACGAACGATTTCATACTATATATCACTTATTAATATACCAAATGAGCTGCGTACTCGAGATCAACAAGATCCTGGCAGATAGTCTATATTACCGCGCTCGGGGCGAATAATTAAATGTGATTATCCTTCATTAAAGCTGAATCCGAAAGACCGGTCCAGGCGCTTACGTAATTGTGGGAATGCGGCGAGCGAATTGTTGGCATTACTTTTCCGTCCATCTTTTCTTCTTCCCTAGAGCGTCGGGACGCTTGTGTTTGGCTCGCGTGTCTCACCCACGCTTTCAAAACTGTGCGTGGCTTCAGACCGTGCACTGTGAGAAATACCTACTCGCAATTCTGGATACACAGAGAAATGCCTACTCGCACGAAGGATAATTATGAAGTCTGTGTCGTCGTTAGCTGCCTGTGTCAACCAATCTGAAAAAAAGTATCCATTGGGTTATCCAATTGTATATTAATTCTGGGTTAATTATGATGATGAAAAATCATCAATTTTATTACGAATTCAAATTGCGTAGCTATTTTGACTTTTTTGCCATTCGTCCCGTCGCGTCACTATCTTCTCTTATCCAGTGTATCATTATCACGACAGGTTGTTTACCTTGGACCAGGGTGGAGGATCCCTACCAAATGTATGCCGCATGTCAACATTTGGTGCACGCGGTTGTTTGATTGTTTGACTTTCCCAGACGCGAGAAGCGGTGCCCAAGAGAGTATATACTTATATGTGGTACATATATATCTACCTGCAACTCACGTTCTAAGGTTCTTCAAATGTTGTCTCAGGCGGGTTAGATACGAGGAGAGTTCAGTTCAACCCTAGATAACGTGCCTTCCTTAAGATTAGGTTTCTACTCTAACAAGGTTCCTCAGCCTTTTCGTATATTCAGTTATACCTTAATAACGAAAAAAAAATGCTAGCCTAAAGATCTTTCGAATCCACTTTGCTCCCATCGCTAGAATAGACATACCACACGACCCAAATTCTATATTTTGCTATTCAACTATTTGATTCTTTTTTTTTCAACCTCCTCCTATTTTTCTCTTCTGATGAAATTCGGAAATAAAAGACTGAAATAGAGTAGCCATGGTATTTTTTTCTTTAGCCATTATTCTTCCACTTTTTTAGTATGCTACAGATACTTCAAACTGGGCTACTAGCCAAATTTCCTCATTTTATAATATATTTGTTAAGGCTACATTGAGTTATTCACATTTTATCACTATCAAATTTTTTTTAGATACCATATGGGAATATTTAATATTGTTACCGTGCTTATCACGGATTTTATTTTTGTGATAACGTCCTCCAGCATCCATATCACTACCTAAAGTACCGCTAACTGATTCTACAGATATTCTCAGAATAAACTTTTCAAATAATATCAAAGATAAAAGAAAATCATATATGGTTCACCACGTTCCAAAAACCTCCTGAAAGTCTCAGAAGACATTAATTAAAAATTTATCTGTAAACAGAATCCGGCAATCAGAAGCATTCGAAAAATATTTACAAGAGTTACAGAGACTTATCTATTTATAGTCTATGTACCCTGTGATGTCACACATAATATTTCGATCTTCCGTCACGATGCTCAACATATATTATATTTATCATTATTTGCAATTTTCATAACGTAGTTGAGCAAAAAATACGAGCAAACCAGAATTAAATTGGACGCCTAAAAAGTATATCTACGCAACGTAATTTCCATGACATTACATTTTTTTTTTTTTAAATTTCTAATATCAGCAACTATAATTCCAATGTTGCAAATATTATTAATGCTATACCAAATCCAAAAATGTCACTTTATAATTATCAAAGTACTGTTAATTAAGTGAGCTGCCAATGCTCTCGTTGCAACAGGTGCTATGTAGTACCATACATACATGTGCCTATATCCTTGTTTGATTAGTCCTTTTGGTTCTTGTGTTTGTATTACGTGACGTCGCATGGACGTCGTGTGCCCGACGTGAGACAGCCTCGCAACCTGGAGAAGAGTCTCTTTACTTCTTCTTCTTCTTCATGGTGTATTCAAACATCTTCCGGATGAGCCAGAACACGTTTTCTATTTACTTAGAAGCAGATGCATCTGCGCGCACGACACTGCATATCTTAACGTTCTGTTGATTAAAAAACAAAAAGACGCAACCGACTGTAAATTTCATTGTACCTCGTTTATCTGTACGGGGGTTTATATAATGTTGTTGAAAAATTTAAATTTTTTCACCATCACGTTTAGTATATTTCGATAATACCAAAAGGATCATTGTAATTTTCTTCTTTTAACGTGGATGCTGATGCATCTTGAAAAATGTATTTATTTTTGTATTACATCTTCTTTGGTACCGTTTGAAGATTTATCCTGCCGAAGATTGACTCAGGGATGAAAATCTTCGTGGACATTCAGGACGATGTAGATTGCGAGATGACACGCTGGGCAGTCTCAATAAAAGATGGTCGAAGCCAGTCACGACAAGATAGCGTCCAGTTGAATGGGCAGCTGTAAGAGATAAGTCCTCAGGAACAGCCGTGGGACTGTCAGCTTCTTGATACTGGTAGTAATCAGAAGATGGCGAGAAAAGGAGATACAGAAATTCATTTATGATTAATATATGCATGGCTTCATCATATTTCATGTAGCATTTAACATATTAATCTAACTTGAGAAATATCTTTATAATAAGATAAGAGACACGAGATGATTATCATTCGAGTCTAAAAATGATTGTATAAGATTAGAAAAAAAAGGCTCGATAAAAAAGTTTCTTGTAGATCCAAGATTTTGAGTTTGACAATTTAAGTATTTTCAAACAAAATTTCGACTTTTTGTTTGGCACATTATTCTGACAAAATTCATCGTTTTTAATTGTGACATTTCGTTATTCGAAGTTTTTCAAGCAGGTGTCATTCTCATTGTTAAGCTAAAAGTCATGGATTATAATGCCACGGCAAGACTATACTGTCAATTGCTCTCAAGTGAAGATGTAACCCACTATATGAAAAGATGAAGAAGAATATGCAACGCCACCGAGTTTAACGTATAATGGCTGACCGGTATATAAAAATAATCGTGTAAGATAAACTCTGTCGTTACTGAATTAATAACCCCGAAAAATTAATTGAATAAACGAAGCTTAAAAAAAATTCATCTCAATCTAAAGAACAGGAATATATTATCCAATTTGCGAAATTTAATGAAATGGACTTTACACGAATTTTATCGTGGCCTTTTCAAGATAACGAATCTCGTGAATGACATTGTCAGCTGAGTCAAAAGTCATAAAATGGCAATGCCGCACCTGAGGTGTCGCGTAATTTCCTTTATCCCTTGCAAAAATTTCTTAATTCGTACAAAACGATCATAGCGGATCGTTGACCGGTAGATGATGAGGCCCTTGAAGCAACCGGAGACCCATCCTTGGGTGGCCCATTACGAAACCTCAATGACAACAGATTATCCCCTGGTCTTAAAAGACTCATAAGGCCTCAAGTCCAGAGACCTTGGGATACAAACAGCGTCAACTTTCTTTCCAAGCAAATCAGTGGATTTCAATTTCCTCTTAAAATTCATTTTCATGAATTTCATTCGATCACAACATTCATTTATCACAGGCCCAGAGAACCACGCCGTCACATATTTTGTACACATAACGAGATTCCCTTTCATTTATTCCAATTACCATTCATTGGCGCGGGCCCATTTTCACGTGAGGCCCTTTCGATTCTAGCAAGAGTCCATAATAATGCTGCAACTCGGCTCTCCCTGTTTTTATATTTTTTTTATCACCCCCGCTCATCCTCCATCACTCACATAAAAGTCCTTTGAAGCTGTGCACAATTTCGCACAATTTCAGATTGGCCACACTCACCGCTCTGGGTCCGGTAAGGCCCATAATCCCTGTCAACTATCTTGTGTCTCAATTCGCTTTAGGCTACGGCTCATTGATTTTTTGTCCATCCTCCAGTCTGCGAACAGGAGCTTAATAAAGGACGAAATCCTGCGGCATTATGGCAAACCAAAGAAACCGGAGAATCCTTAGGGTGAATATACATAAGTATAGACGGAGATACATTCAGTGACATGTGTGCGGTAGCTATGTTGGTAAGTTGGCCAGGAAAGGAAATTCAGGAAAGGACCTTCATCCTGATAAATGACGTGAACGTTCACAGGAGTCGTTAGAATAATTGCGCGCTTCCAGAAATACGGGAAGTGGACGTGTACCCGGCATGAGAACCGGCATGAAGTTGGAAGCGAAGGAAGGAACGAGAACGAAGCGCAGACGTAGAGGGAAAAAAAAAACAGAAACTGGTAATCGTCCAAAGCCTGAAAAATTAAGCGTGAGTGTCGGCCGCAACGAGGCAGCGAGGTGGGCTTAAACGGTGCGACTGATAAATGAATAGAAACTGTCTCGAATAGAGGGTGGAAGTAAGAAAGAAAAAGAAAAAAAAGAGGGTTAAATAGGGAATACCACTGAATTTTGATGAATAGTCAAAAAAGTTAAAAAAAATGTTGTATCCTACCAAAACTAAAAATAATTATAACAAAGTAAAATTGAAAATTCTTGGAAATATGAAAAAATTTTAATCAACGCTATATTCAATCTCGTGTAATTTTAGACGAATCTAGGAATTTGCATATCATTGTAAAATAATTCAGCAAGCGTTTACTCCATAAGGTATTGAGACATCTTATAAATGAAATTCGCGATAAAATTTCATAACGTGTATCAAGTTCAAAATCCTATCGAATAATAAATGTAATCATTAGCACAGTAATCGGAGATAATAACGAAGCGTTATAAACCATCATTCGATGATTCACAACGATACCATTAGTCTTGAATTCCCGTCAAGATTTGAATCGTCAGAGCGGAAGCAGTATCTGAAAAAAAGACACGTCCTCTGCAAGGGGGATCCTCTTTGCGTAAGGCTGACTTTCTTTTTTTCTTTAAAATGATTATACGAAAACAGGGAAACGCGTGCTTTAAAATGGTTAAAAGCCAAGCTCAGTTGACTGAAGTCAGTCTGGTATTCGAATCGTTGTAAATGTGTATCGGAGTGTGTCATGGAGGATGCCCGAGGGGGCTGCCAACCGAGGTAATGACTGGAGCTTCCTGCGTTGAAACTACGAACGGGGACGACCCCATGCAGGATATCCGACATTTAATCTGATTTCTGGATTATACGCCTGCGAACAAGCGATAGATAACAATAACGTTCGTTCGTTCATCTCCATCCCAGTAATAGTATTATTCTTCCCTCGTATTATCTCTCCCACCCTTTCTCTCTCTCTATGTATATATAAGTTAGCTATATGTAAGTTCTTCCTGTTATCCTAGCGCAGGTCACAATTTTTATTTTACTTTTCACTTTTTAACCGGATGCACACGAAATGCCTTCCTAGCCACTTCCGATTCCGGAAAAAGAACTACGACCTAGATACGACGTAACGGTAACAAAAAATTTTTTGAATTTAATAATTTTTTTTATAAATTCCATACATAATTCACATATGACTCCTGTCGAGCTTTAGCAATATAATTTAAATCGTACGAAAATCAAAGCTAATTTTCCGTGTGAACGAAGCTTAAAGAGGCACGGGTCGTCGCACACGGCCGCAACGTTATTGGTGGGGATTGGCGTGCGTCGTGTACTTCCAGGCGGATGTCGCTTTAACGTTTCACCATTTATTCCCAGGAAGAGTTTACAGTAAAAAATCCAATATTATAATTTAACATGTAATTATGATAATAACAATTTTTTATCTCGTAATTAAAAATTATATAATACCGATAAAATATTTCATACTCAAGGACGATTGATTTTAATTAAATTTTTTTTCTATCTCAATTTTCACCGTTGGACACCAAACAAAAAGATTCTTCAGGATGCAGATGTCTTTCTATAGATACGACGGTCTTCGATTCATTCAATAAAATCCGCCTTAGTCGAGGCAGTCATGAATGATACTCGCTATACCTACTACACGGTCAACGTTTCATAATAGAAGTATACGGTGGTTGCCCATGACACGTTCACATGACCCTTTTCCGCGCGTTACAATTCTCATGAAACACTAGACATGTGTGTGAATGGGATACGTGTCGTTACAATACTTCCGGTGGATAGTTACTCTCCACGTGAATGAAATTAGAACGCGAGCAAAGATATACGCGGAAGACGAGCTGTAAAAATCTTCATAGAACTTCATAGGTGGGAATATAAAATAATTACAATAAAAACAATCGAGATAATTTTTACGATAATTTCAATTCGAAATATCAAAATTTCGATCTCTCATATCTACGATTGAGAAGAGTCGCTGTATGAATTTTATAAAAAATTTGATTATCACGAAAAAAAAAAATTCGACATTCCGCAAAAAATTCGAGCCTCCAAAAATTGTGTACTCGGCATTATTACCTGTCTAGCCGATAAAGAAATGCTGATAACGTATTTGGTAGGGACGTCAAAATAAAAACAGGCATATATATACCTATTGGCCATTATGTTAGCTCACACGCATAATACCAATGCGCACTATTGCGAAATTGCATACGTATGGTTTTTCGCGAGTGTCGTTGCATTCGATGAAACGAGAGACCATAACCTAACATAACCCACGTTGCTTGTTATTTTGCAAGACTCGTGCTGCAAAGCCACGTGACTAGATATATCGCGCTATTGTGAAAAGTAACATGGCGCTTCGGATGATGTCGCCCGAGCTTGAGTTACTACCTTGCTAACCGGAAACGGTGAAGAGAATGCAAGCGGACGCGGTAGCGATAACGATAATCGCGTGCGAAACTACCGTCAAACGCTGCGTCTCGTATGCAAACGTAGATACGGCTAACTAAAAAGTTCCACGTGGTAAGGATAGGCATAGAATAAAACAAAAAATGGATAAAGTTAAACGATTGAAAAAAATAACTTTCCTGAGGTAAACAGCAGTGGCTAATCAAATAGGAACATCGATGATTATTTCCTGGTAAAAAAATTAATAAATAATATCTTTAGCTCGTATACACGCACGCTAATAACACATGGCACAATACGAGATGATTGCTCGTCGGTAATTGCATGTTTATACGAACGGGAGAAAATAGAAGAAAAAAATGAGAGAGAAAAAATATTCCGTTGCGGAAAGTTAGCGGTGGCTGATAAACGATAGTCAATAATCTTTAACGCGATATCCAAAGTCCGCGGGGTGTCACATGAACGTCAATCCCGTTACTGCGGCGTGTTCCGAGCTGGGATCATCAATAGCGACAGCTCCCGACAAATATTTTATTTGAGATATTTGTTATCGTTTAATTGCCAGTCCCCCGTGGAGCGTGGCGCAATAGGTCGCTAAGAACAGTGGATCCCGATACTAGAACGATTACGAGGATTCTCAAACACTGAGGGTATACGGATCGATCTCGTGTTTTTATGCCAAGGGTTTATCGATACGTTGCAAGAGAGAGAGAGAGAAAGAGAGAGAGACAGGAGGGGGCGGAGAGAGAGAGAAAAATAAATAATAACAAGTCCATTGCAGTAATAAGAACTTTGTTATAATTTTCCAATGCAAATCAATAGAAGTGAATATACGTCGTGTTGTGCAAGTCGCGTGATAGGAATTCTTGAAGGAAAAAAATATAATACAGCTTGTTATTAATATATGTACATTTATATCCTATGTATAATATATACCTGTTGACGTATTTAGGCATGAGAAATATTGAATACGTGATAACATTTGTAAATTTCGGTTGATATCGTTGAAGTGATAGACGCCCACAAATTAGCCAGGTCAAGAGTAAGGTATTATCGATAAGTGCCGATAACAGATAAGCAATCGGTACTTGCTTCATCAAATTTTTTATTTTCATTTTCTGCATCTACGGTGCAGTGTATAGAGTGCGCGTGACCGTATAGGTATACATATCTGGTATCGCGATAATTCTCCACCGAGATGTTATCTGCTAAATACGAAGGTTATCTGTAATCGTGTTTGCTCGTAGATGGAGATTACATATTTTTTTAACACGCCGATAATCACCGGATGGAATCTCTCGGCGAAAATATTCTCGTGCAGGAGAACGAAGAAAGTTGCTTTGCTTCCTATGGACTGTATCGATTGATCGAAAAGATTCGATGAAAAGATAATCCCTCGCTGGATGCAAGGATAAGTTTTTACGTACGTCGATCCAATTAAAAACAAATTTCTAAATTAAAAAAATTATTTAACGTACCCATAACGGAGAATCTAACAAAGTCGTTAATCTGTATGAGTCTTTGTCGTGGTTTATCGTTAGGACTTGAAAAGAGGTTCAATGTAAATTGACATAAGTGCGGTCACGCGCGTGACCGTAGCCACGTGCAGACACGGACTAACGAAAGCGTAGAAATCAATAGCCACATATAATACATGTAAGTACATTCCGTTTGCACGTGTCATTACGGAAAAGTAAGGAGAATAACATTTGCTCAGTCAGTTAGTCTCTGGAATACGAGAACCGGTAGAAGTTGAACGAGTGAATGTAAGAAGCGTGTGAGTCGACATGAAATTTTGGAGAAGTAGAAAAAAAGGAGTGGAGTCAAGAGAAAAAAAAAAAGTATTGAAGCATAATATTCAAAAAAAAAAAAAATATAAAGAAAGGAGAAAATTTTGAAAGCAGACGAAGGGTGGTGAAAGAAAAGAAAAAAAGAAAATATTACACCTCTTTAGTTGTGGACGATGTTTGGCCCCTAGTTAGCGGCTCTACGGGTCTTACAGGCTATAGTAAGTACAGCTGTATTTATCAGGTTGCCACTACGTGGCAAGAATACATTATACAAGATCGATTCTAAAATATGTGGTTTTTGAACCTGAGCGAACGAAAATCATGTGGTTTTAAAAATCCATGGACCACTTTTTATGTCTGGACTATAAAATTTTATCGTACGTATCACAGTACACGTGCACAAAAATTCTGAATAATCAAATCGCGAATATCATTTTTTTCGATGAATAAGTAACGGTGTACCGATTACGTGGAATAATGATATTTACTTTCTTTATCGACAGCCTCGTGCCTAAAGCACCGCACGTGTGTTATAACGTTTTCGGCCACGTGCGAACGTACGCAAAATTGTGCTCGACGTGGTCGGTGCGATGAGTTTGAATTTGGAATTTTTTTTAATTGGACCAATCGCACTCATATTTATATACAGTAAATATAAAATAATTGGCTGGGTGTCCTGTGAAATTTTGTTTCTCACTTATCATATATGTATATTCTATATACTTAGAATGTCAAGAATTGCGTCATACCAAGCGAACGAACTTTCTTTCTGGTACCCTATGGTAATTTACGTTTGCAGTCCACAGTAGGGTTTATCTTGCAAAGTTAATGGATACCACGTGGTAACTATCATCAGGGACTGTGGGAACACCAGTGCGAGTATCATCTCTTGGAGTGACTCGCTAAAATTATCCGAGCGACTGTCTCTCGCGGTAACGTTGGATATTAAAGCCACGGCGTATAAGAAAAAAAAAGAAAAAAGATAGAAAAAAGACCAAATAAAGAAAGACAGCACGACGGCAAGAGGCCTCGACCAGTTTGCACAATGGCCGAACGTAAGCGGGGAGTAAACTTAGTCGTGTGGAACATTCCTCCTGGTCAGCCGATGTGTTCCTTTATATTATTCAAAATGGACCAAAGTCGCATCTCCAGCAACCATGAAGCATATCCTCCGCTAAAGACAGAATATAACATTTTTTTTCAAAATATTACAATCCCCCACGTGCATAAAAAAAAATTGAAAAAAAAAACCTCGGGTATAAAATATTAAAAAATTTTATTCCCGGCATACAAACGTCTTATATATTTAAATCTTATTCCTCAATACGATACCATAAGTATATACTTGCCATACCTATAATTATACGTTTTCATTGACCTCACGAATTTACGACTTTATAAACTCGCCCGTTTACTGCACGGGAATACCTTTAAGGGTTGCTTCGAATAATCGACGATTCGCATTCGCCGTCGCGTGTCCCCTAGCCGACAAGAAATATCCAGTGTAAGCGTACTATCGTATTTTTGCTTGGGTCCACGGGTAATGAGGCCCCCTTATGTGCTTGTAAGAATGCTACCAGACGCGTTTCGCGCATCGCCGAACGCGTTAAACGCGGCAGCTGCCGTTGTCGCGGGTTCCAGTCGATTCCCGTTCCGGCGGTTTTTTGTTGGTTTTCTCAAAAATCGGTAGAAATCTCTCACGGGAGTCCCGAGCGTGTAGCCACGTTATACATACCTCCCGTAGTGGCCGCTATACGGCCTGTACTCTGTATATCCTATACATAACGCTCTTCCCTTTTGCATTCTCATTTCAGTCCAAGAGAAAAGCATGCACCGTGTCGGAGTCCTTGTGCATTCGAAGTGCACCCGGTACAAAAGCCTACAGGCAGGAAATATAAACGGAATTTTTTATCAGCCGCTCGCGGAGGCTTTGTGTATCGCTGTTACATGTTATTGTTTCGCGTACGTGCGTATGCATTGCGTACTGCCGTCCTTTCATGCGATACGTACCAACTAACAGACATGCCATGCTTGTTGGTGCCGGAGAGTATGGTATTGCCTGTATGGCGGTACGGTAGCGATATGCATATGCGAACAGCATATGTTAATGAAATTCAGTTCGTGCCTTACTATACAGCACAGTAGAATAATGCTTTACGTGGCCAGCCTGTATTATACTGACTAAACTTACGAACTGGACGTTTAACCAAAACTTATTCTGTGGGATGAATATATATATATATATATATATATATATATATATATATATGCATGTAGCTACATGAACGGTTGCATGTTACTATGAATGTTATATATATGTAGAGTACATAGTTTTTTTACATGCTGACCGTTAGTCACGCATATGAAATTATACGAGATTCTTTCTTACACGACCTTTTACGAATTTCGAGGATAGAATGCACCGGATCAAAGATACCGTGATGCGGTCGGCCTTTATGGTTAATATACCATCTACGCACGTCAGTTAGGAAAGACCCCGACCGCGATAACGTTTAATCTCGTCCTCTTGGAGTTTCATGTTGGGCCTATCTATCCGGCCGAGAGTTGCGAGCTGTATCTATTATACGAGATTTCTTGCTTTAAGGTCGGGAGGTCACGTGTGCACTCTCGCAATCAGTAGTGTCATGGATTGGTGGGATCGTGCGAAATTTTTACTTATCAGTGTGTATATACAGGGTGTTTCTTTTATCTCTGCCACCCGAAATAACTCGGTAATTATTGATGTAACAACAGAATGTTTCAAACAAAAGTTGTACGGTGCGGAGGGGGCCACCAAGTGCGACAAATTTTTTTTATTTCGGTGGAGGCGTTGACGCACATTGAAGGTCACCTCCACTTTTTCAAATAGAATGGTACATTTTTATTTCAACCATCTTGTGGAGCACCTCAAGCCGCATAAAAAAGATCAAGGGGTCAAAGTCGTTCAAGGTCATTCAAAGGTCAGTATCGATGATACAATCAAATCGATAATTACCGAGTTATTTCGGGTGGTAGAGATAAAAGAAACACCCTGTATATAGCATAGATGAACCATTGTATTTATGTATAACTATTTCGGATGCACGCTGTAGCTGATGAATTTTTTTTAGATAAAAAAAACTTTTGAAACGTATGTGGTTGTGTTGTATTTTTCTTATAATTTTCTGTGTGTGTATATATATATATTTTGTGTATAAATATATACAGTATGTATAGATGTACCAGTGAGACTTTGATAAGCACAAGAGAAAAGATAGTCGTTGAATGTTTCATAAAGAATCGTATAAAAAGGTTTGTCGAATGTAAAAGACTGCCGACAGATTGCAGCACCGTCAACGGTCGTATTCACAAGGAGGCGGTATAGAGCACGTCGTGTCGGGTCGCGATTGAGAATGCAATTTTTGAGTGGCGAGGATTGGCTCGAAGAGTGAAGAAAAATGATCGCGTCTCGCAGCCAGGCAGGAGATTCGTCAAGGATCCTTTTCATGAGATTCGCTCACGAAATCGTCGGGCGATCGAAACCTGCCGCTTTTTTTACGTCGACGCTTTCGCTCTCGTTCTTTCTCTCGCTCTGTGCGCGGAATCGGCCCGAAGGAGAAGTCGTGATCGGCAAAAAGTGATCGGGAGGGATTTATTGCACCTTTCGGATGAGACCAGGGTGGACAGGGCATCGGTCTTACCCCGGTAGATATCTTATCTTGGACATTGTGCCAGGGCCTTAGTACGTATACTTACTACGTTGGCTTCGCCGTGGGCTCTCGATACCATTGCCGATAAGCGAGTACTAGTATCTGATGAACGTGCAAAAACAAAAGCCCTCTCGTTACCCGACCGAGGACGAGTAAACGAGAGAGAGAGAGAGAGAGAGAGAGAGAGAGATAGAGAGAGAGAGAGGAGAAAGTAGAGTGGTTACAAAAATATTTATTTATAAAAATAAATGGAAAAAAAGTTTGCTTGAACAAATATTTAAAAATTTGTCACTTAATCAAATTCAGTGTAATAGTTGAACGTGGGAAGTAAAGTAGATACAGGATTTGTAATGATCATAAAGATATGTTTGAATTTCAAAAATGGTATCAATGAAAAAAAATGTCAAGGGGCAACGACCCTTATGGAAGGGACTGTAAATAAGATGGGGGATTATATCGAAGATCTTTCGAGTAGATACGCTCTTCTTATGTACGGACTTAACTTTTTTTACGCGGCAGTTTTTTCTTCTGTCTCTCTCTTTCCCCTTTTTCTTTTGCGTTCGACCAACGAATCAGCCTCGAGAACTGTTTTGTTTCGCGCATAAAAAACGGACATATTGGTTTTACGTTCTCTTATTTACGATACCATAAAGTCGTCGCGCAACCATACCAAAGTGTCTCCCGCGTGTATGTAAACGGCAGTCAGGCCGTTAATAAATTCCGTGGTAGGTTGCCATGGTGACAAAGTCGACAAATGGCGATATTTACGCCTTCCTTGGTCCGCTACAAATTAGATTGGATATATAACGATCACGGAAATTGGCGGCGGACATATGTGCTCAGGTGCGAAAAGTTGTCGCGCGTAGAACGGAAGAATTGTTTGCGGAATATAAGGGAGAAAATTAATGGCGGGACGATCTTTTATCACGATAGTGCTGCCACCAGTCGGGATCTTTTTTATTTATCACTCTTGGCTGACTTTATATCAATGGTTACACACAGTGTTAGTATCGCTTGAAAGGAGGCGCGACAAAATAAATAAAAAGAAAGAGAACGCTTTACAGAATCTTCCTCGAGTCGAGGAGTGATAACGATCGACATATATTAATCGGCAATTGGTCCTGCCGATATCGCGGGAGGTCGCTTTCGATTGATGTGCCGACCAACGGATAATCATGAAATAAAAAAATATTATCTCGACCAATCATGAATTTAATATTATTTATTGGCTGATCGATACTTGGTAATAAAATTTGTGTAATTATCGAATTTAATTATTCCTTCGTGTATCCGGAGATATTTAACCCCTTTTACTCGGGGTGAGTACTGTTGTAATATTATCAAGTTGAACTACAAGGGGGTTAAGTAATTGTTATGAAATACATGTGAATAGTAATAGGGACTTAATTACGAATCATACAAGTGATAATCATTTCCCGAATAATTTTTTATCACAAGTGCCAACAAAATTTTGACTTTGATCTATAACCTATCTTAACCTAATCTAATCATAACCTTGCGACGATTTGAGTAGTCAAATTGTAGGATAAAAAAAATTATTGACATATTTTTCATATCTTGAGAAAATATTACAAAAACTTGTCTCATACACCATTTCGATATTAACGAGTATAACTTTTTTTCCGTATAATGAAAAATGCAGACTCGCAGCTCGTCGCGACGCAAGGCGTTGCCTGGAATGAAGACAGCGGTGCCGCAAGAAGAGTTATCGCGGTCCGCGGCGGCCAATGATAAATTGCGCATCGCTAAAGAGCCGTAAAGTGCCACGCGGAATGAAGAGGCCGGTCATTATCTTACGGGTCCTCTTTAATTAAAGGAATCCTGCGCTCGTACATACGACGCCAAGCGTCGTTGTCAACGACGTCCAAGAAAAATTCTTCCACGATTTAATTCTCCTTCGTAGAAATGCAATCATCGATCGCGTCATCTTAAAATACAAAATGAATAAAAATTGTGAAAATCGGCGAAAAAATTTTTCTCAAATAATTTTTTATTTTTATCCAGCCAAAAATCTCTGTCACGTTCATACCGTAACCCGTATTGATCGACGTTAATGTTTATTCAAAATAATTAATCTACGTTCGCGCATGCGCATATACGGGTATGTATATTGCGCGACCGCAAAACCAGAGACACACAGACCTACATTGCTCGCAACGTCCAGTACATACTGGGTGTGGGGATTTCGAAGAAGAGCAGTAAAGTCCTCGGAGCTGCGACCGCAGATTTATGCGTAGTAAAGGCAAACCGTCTCTTGGGCCGATCTACCCTCGAGCGTGGTGAACATTAGTTCAGCCCCACTCGGGTACTTACGGATAGTTACCCGCGGCATCGTAAATTATTGCCCACGCCCCGAACTTTTACTGCTACTTCGGTTTGAATCTTTGGCAACGCGACGCCCATGGAAATTAAAAAGAAAGGATGCGCACGAATTTTCGACACATATGTAGAATAAAAAAATAATTTTTTTAATAAAGAAATATTTTTTACCAATTTACCAAACTCGACTTCCTGCTTCGATCCTCGCGTGACTGATAAATGTAAATACGCTCGAGTCAGGTTTCGCTTTATGGTAAAGGTAAGATAAGTAAGTCGTGCAACCGATCTTAGTCATCACTGGACTTTAATGTATCATTATCTTACATCTACAGGCTATTTAAATTGCACTTGCAACGAGAGGAGAGACGAAAGTAAAAGGCGCGAGACGTATGGTGGATGCTGGAATTGAATTCGATATACCGTATAGTATAGGAGAGAGCCGTATTTCTTGAATCTCCGAGGTTCTCCCTTCCCGGTGTGATCCGCGCTGTTAATCAATAAGAAAGCTTCCGAGAAAGCAATTAATATAGTAATTAGCAGGTCTGGCAGTTACAAGCCACCGAGTACCTCCCATCTACTTTAAGCTTTGAGCAATTTACGTACTCGATGCTACTGCTACGCACGTTACACTCGTAATCGTTTACGGGAGCCCATATCTCCGGGAGCCACAACTGCCTTTTACTTACTTAACAACAGATCTACAAAACCAAGCGAACTTCTATATCGCAATCGTTAAGTTATACCACATGACTACGTACAATGCAATTGGTACTGCACGGCAACGTGAGAAGACTTGAGTTCCCACAGACAGCGTATAAAACGAAGGAACCTTCACTGATGACCTTGATGTTGATGAACCACGCAATCCAACCAATGGTAACTACCGTACTTAGGATTTCAGTAGGAATCCAGAAATTACAGTAAACGCAAATTGCATTGGATGCAAAATGAAAAAAAAAAAATAAAATCAATTGCATAATAAATAATTACCACTCTCGGTACTATCGGCACATAATTGATCGGTAAGTATAAAAAAAAAATTATTTTCCTAACACTCCAAAAAATTTTCTTATCGATCCAGCCCAATTACGAAGAATCCCCTAGAGGCTTTTTCGAGTAAAAGAAAATCGGAGGACCTCCGATCGGCGGGTCTATACAGAATCCTTTTAAATCGGTGAAAAAAAAATTCGTGGAGGGGTGGATAAAGGAGGAACGATAAAAATAAAAGTCACTCGCTCCTGCGGGTCTCGCGGGAAGGTAAGGGAAGATAGGTAGCCGTAAGAAATATCGACATCGTATAACGCGCGTCTTACAGTTAGCCGCTGGAATACGGCGGATCGTATCTGTAATGCGATCGCTTTGGCACTGTACGGCGATAGCATCATTAACCCTCAGCACACCGAACACTGAATAAGATCTTGTTACGTGATATCTGAGAGCCAGCGGTGCTTCCAGTGCTCGCAGAGCTACGAGAGTCTCTCCTCGAAGCCTTTAACCATATTCTCTATCAGGTATCCACCTTTTTCTGCTTACTATCGTCCTCACTCTCGCACTCTGTTAAACGCTCCTTCTCTCTATCTCTCTTCCTCTCGCTCCGTCCGTCTACTTCTTACTCTGTCTACGGCGCACACAATACTCGCTAATTAAACGAGCAGAAAACGCCACCGAAGATACCAGCTCGCGATTACTTTGTTTTCGAGGGCTACCATGTGACCAAATTAATTGGAGTCGAAGAAATAAATCTTTCAGGGTACCGTAAGCCGGTGGGGTACCATAGGAATGTAATGACAAAGTGAAAATTAGACGTCTCGTGAAAATTATTTTGCCGTCGAATTGTTAAGCCTTGAAATTTTATACACGTGCCTTATGTAACTTTCGTCTACGACGTACATACGCGTCTTAGGATGATGATCCATAGAGTTCGGAATGACCTATAAAAAAGGTACCCAACTCAGCATACAGAGTAACGAGACTTCTAAGCCCATTGATGGATTAGTCGTTAGGTCGCAGCTCGTGCGCGACGGTGAAATTCTCGTGGTGTAAGAAAGAAGCGCTTGAAAACATGCCTCGTGGAATTCTGAAGCTGTGACTGGAGCGGCCAAAGATCCCGAAGAGTGTAACAGATGAGGAAGGATTGAGGATTCGCTGTAGGCGTATAACGTATAACCTGTATCCGCGGATGGTATCGAACGTGCGAGCGTTTAATTGGCACGAGTCGCGCAATGGAAACTCGCGGTCGTGCCGCGTCTTCTTTTTCACGTATAAAGCAACCTGGAATCCTGAGGTTGCTTTGCCAGGTAGACAGGATGCGAGGAGGATACGAAGACACCTAGTGGGACCTGGTCTTATGCGTCTCCAGGGACGAATCGCTCACGTATATTGGTACTTGTGTAGCTATGCTTTTTTTTAATGAGTTAGGTCAATCGAAAAGGGCGTGGTCGAAATGTCGACTAGACGAGAAAACGCGGAACGATCGTCATCTTGTGGAATCTCGAGATTTTCTCTATAGGTTGGACCTGGTTTATCTTGTGGACAGCCAGAAGGTGCTACTGGATAGTGGTAGGGTGGTAACGAGGCAGAATCCGGGAGCTGTAAAGAAGCTGTACCATTATGAGAATCCACCACTTACGTCTAAAGTATGTATACGAGCGTCAAGGTGCTATTTGAAAATACCAGAAAACACGTGAAATTGAGTTGACTACTATTAGCGTTGAAATTTTTATATTTTTCTTCTTCCTTTTTCATACGTCTTTTATTTATGCACTATGCTTCAAAATCTTTGACTGCTAGAGAATATCGCTACGGACTGTCTCGTATCTCTTCGCCTTTACGAGGGAATCGGCTCTTCTGGCTGTGGGACGTCACTTTTTGATACGGCCGTCGAAATTTTATTATACCATCAACGAAACGCGACTTGGAATCTCTACGTAAGTCAGAGACGATATGATGGTTATTTAAAAAGCCCTCGACGATATCCGCGATTTCGGAATTCATTTATATCTCCCTATTATCTATATATTTATGTGCGGTGTGTATATTGAATGCAATAAAAATTGTCATAATTAAAAATAGACACGATATACGTCCGCGTCTTGGCGGACTTCTCGAAACCTGTTTTACGGTCAACAGGTGTGGTCATTTCGAAAGATTGCGTAGGAACGTAAGGCACGAATCTTTGAAAACAGGTGTCTTGTTCGGTATACATCACCTCTAATGACGATCGCGCGCTCGTGTCATTAGATACCTTAGGCTCGCGCTGTTTTGGCGTCTTAGTGTCTGCTTGGACGTAAGAAATTCATAGGTCTGCCTCTTGAGGGAGAGAGATATTTTCTAAGACAACCCGTGGGCCATACATGATAAACAGTCAATCTATCAAATGACATCACCGTAGCGTTATCCTCATTCGGGAAGCAATATCGGGTAAGGATCGGTGACGAAATAAGGTGATGGAAAAAAAAAGGAGAAGGCTGCATGGCTAATGTGACACGCGACATGAGTATAATGAAATACAAAGGCGGATAGCTTCACAGTAAATCGTTACTACGTGTGAATTTCAATGGTTCGACACGGAACGACCGAAGGCGCGAATATTCAAATGAATTTGAATTGCCGAACTCCTTTGTCTCTTTGTTACTCAGGAACGAGCGGCGAAGCACGAATCGTTGGGCGAGGCCTCGCGAGCCATTCTACGTACCTATAATATACTGAAGACAGCCGTGCATCAATTTACTAATTAACGAGCCGTATCCCACTGGTAATTATGGCACAAACGGACGCGCGACGTTGACAAATAGAACGCTGCCACGAAGACAGCCTCGAGTATTTAGCTTCCCGTGTGTCTAACGCGAGCGGGTTAGTATATTCGCGTGGGTAATGATTAACGAGCTCGTTGTTCGGAATTCCTTGATTGGATTCGTTTCTTCTTTATCGTAATTAACTAGCTGGTCCATGCGTTTCCTCCAGAGGATTCCTCTCGAGTATCCTCCACCGTATACCTGTACAGGATTTCAAAGCCATTGGCACACAAAATATTCTTTCGATATTATCGGATCGTCTTTATAATAGGATCTACAAAGCTGTATAATGACCCGTTGGAATTGAATAACCGAGACCTCATTGAGCCGCAAGCTCAGGATTGGTACTTACGAGACTTGTATCCTTAAGTCCTGGGTTATGGTCGCACGATCGACGCATCCTACGAGACCATCGGCATTGTGATCGTAATTGTATCCTTTGCCGTATGGACCAGAACCGGATCATCTGGCACGATCAAAGATCACGGGCGCACTCTCCAGGATGCTCTGTAATTGAAGGTCAGAAGTAGAAGAGGACGATTTACTTGAGTCTCGTTCTCGGCCCTGGCGTAGGATCAAGATAACGATTTATTCGCGATTTCTCTTATCTACGGGTGCCCGTTTAAGTTTCTTGGTTATCAATAGACTTTCTTCTACGCAGCATCCACCGGCCTTGTCATATTGTTCCTGGTGTCTGATACGAAAAATAATTCGATGTTCAGACACATTTTCTCCGGTCGTATGACGCGGACTTATCGTCTTGAACTCATTACCATGTGACGTCATCCTCGGTAAATTTCTATATCGCCTGCATGGAGACGCGGCTGCAGGTTGGAGGAAAGGTCGTCGTCGGGAGGCATCGAGGTGCAGAGTTCCCACACTTCGAAGGGGTCCAGAGAGCTGGCTGGCTGGACTACGGGTCAGAACCACTGTGTGCTTCGAGTGCCGATCGGGATGCTGATCAAATGTTACACGAGTCAGCTGTAATTCTTGTTAGGCTGGACCATGATATTTATTATACATAAAGACGTACGGTGCACGTAGATCCAAGATGATATCCAAAACGATACGCAGCATCTCGCCGGGAATGGTGCGCGTAAAGATCCATGGGTAAAATGATAAAAGTGAAAGTTGCATTTTATTATCCTTAATTATTTTTTATGACATTCATTATCAGCTATAAAGTGGTAATATATTTGTGTCTTTCTTTTTTTTTTTTCATCCAAAAGACGTAAAGTCCGCTGTTACGTTGATAAGAAACAATTTCGCGGAACCTCGTGTAACAGCGTCTGGAAGAGGCTCGAGGCTCGGCGCGTGCAGGACGTGATTGTGTCGCGGCTTCTCTCCTCTCCTCTCCTTGACACCGTCCTTCTTTTTTCATCTC